TTAATTTTTTGTTGATTCGTCAACATTATGCCGGCTCTGCGTTGGTATTACGAGTTGGTCTAGATTTGTTAGTCTCAGCAGGTTGTTGTTTATGTGCAAGACCAAGCGACAACGTAAGTGGACGGTGATGTATGATTATTGGCTGATGTTGATAACGTAGTTCCTAATGTGAGATATGCCAACAATATAGCAAGAACTGTCGATTTTGATTGCCTAGCCGCTAACCATTGTCGTCGCGTTCTAGGATCTCCTACAGTAAAATTTGTCGGAACTACTTCTTTATTTCTGACAAGTTTTCCCAATGGTAACATATCTTGAATGTCTGAATCTGCCTTGGTTGATGCCGTCTCTGAGTTGGTTTCTGTAAAGTTAAGACTATCATGCGCTGGAGTCATCATAATACTGTTCAGTGATTGTCCTGATGTCGTTTTCGCGGACGCATCAAACACCACTCGAAGTTTTGTTGTCGTGCTGTCTTCTTTAATAACTGCATGATGCGGTAAATAATATACCTTTGTCTTTGGTTTCTCATTAACTTCCTTCATATGACCCAGCTTGATATACTCTTGCATAAAGTTCACATACTCTTGCTTTAGTGCTGGATTCTTCTTAAATCGTTCTTCCAATGAAAAGAACCGTTTTAACGCCATCTTTCTGGATTCACCTAACGTTTCTCTATCATTTTTCAGTGGTAACCTAACGATGTATCGTCCTGTTTTATCGCGGGTGCAAGTTGAATCATAATGTCGCTCACAATGCCTTTCTTCTACTGTTCTTAAGTCTGCATTTGGAATTTCCTCTAATTCCCAAAACCGTTTTAAATACTCGTCGCTGCTTTCGCAAGCCATGGAGCATAACATTATTTTGTTTGTGATTGTACGCTCTACATCTAAAGGTCCTGATAATATCCATCCAAATAGTGTGTTTTGAGCCATTGGAGAGTTGTCTGGCCCTTTAATTAATCCTTCTTTAAACACTTCTGGTAATACGTCCGACCCGATTAACAATTGTATTTCCTTTGGTTCAGCATACCAAGGATCTGCTAACTGCAATCCATCAATATGTGACCATTTTCCTGGCGTGAATTCTCCATTTGGCATTTTTGATGTGATTTTTGGTAACACTATTGCTTCGATATGACAGCTTTTATTTTCATCATGTATAGATTGAATTTCTAATGAACATTTGGCTATAACGCTTGTTGTTTGTCCATTGATACCTTTTACATGAGTTTGATAATTGGTCAATGGTGCTCTGATTGATCTTGCTAATTGTTCTGTTATTATACAAGATTGTGATCCTTGATCAAGAAGCGCTCGTATCGGATTAACTTGTTTTTTAGTCCTTATAATTACCATTGCGGTTGCTAGTAAAACAGTTTTTTCCTTTTGGATGTTGTACGACGCTGCCACTTCGGTCTCTGTGGTGTTCTTCAATGTTGGCATCCTCTGTTTACTTATATTATTTGTGACTGTTGGTTTGCCCTTAACTTGTTCATGAATAAGTTGATGGTGTTTTTTGTCGCAAATTGCACATCTTTTTTTATACAAGCACAACTTACTAAAATGCCCACTCTGAAGGCAATTAAAACATAATTTGGCGCTCATAATCTTTTCACGACGTTCCGGCACCTTCATATTCAGAAACTTTGAACATCGAATCAATTGGTGGTCACCATTACACACTAAACATAGCGTATGTATTGTATTTACATGCGTTTTTGTATTTACTGCTGTTGGTCGAAAATTATTCTTATTTTCGCGATTTGTGTCACGAATTGCCTCCAATCCTCTAACTCTGCTCTCGATAAACTCGTATAAGCTGCTCAATTTTGGTATTTGTGTTGATGCCCCTCTTGAATGTTGGTATAATTTTCTGGTTTCACCATCTAATTTTGGAAGCAGTATCTGTATAATTAGTGGATCCCAACTTGACGTGTCCACATTTAAATTACGTATACCATATAACACTTCTCTAGAAGAATCCACTAATGTTTTTAAATCCTGTGCATTCTCATTTCTTATAGCTCTGAGCGACAATAACTTATTGATAAGATTGTCCACAAGTATTGCTGGATTGTTGTATCTTTGTTTCAATAGTTCAACTGCCGCTGTATAATTGTTCGCTGTTATTGTTAAATGATTGATAAGTCTGGCGGCTTCTCCACGTAGACTTCCTTTTAAGTACTGCATCCTTTCTACATCCACTAGATTATGGTTTTGTTGAACTAACCGGTCGAACAATTCCCAAAATGGACACCACTCTTCAAATCTGCCGCTGAATATTGGTACATTCAACGGTGGTAGTTTGATATTGTTACTTACCGTTGTTCTAGGTTCTGCAACGTTTTGACTGCGAACGTTCAGTTCTTCTTGTAACTGGATATATACTTCTTCGTATATCGATTCCAGTTGAATGAAATCTCCTTGGTCTATTTCATCATTGTTAAACAGACATTCATCGTTTAATTGTGAGATCTTTGCCCAACAATTCTTCAATTTTTCCAATTTGAACTGTAACGTTTCAATACTTTTCGTTAAGTCTATTGTCTCTTTGATCTGCAACAGACTTGTACTTAAGATTGCTAAACGTTTGTTCGTAATATCACATGGCCTGGTGATGGCGACTTCGTCATTGATACTTATGTCTTGATTCCTTGGTGACCGAGCTTCTTCTTGCCCTCTTATAACTTGATGCCTTGAAACTTGAGCTTCCCTTTGCTCCATTTGCCTTATTATTTCCAATTCATTATTAAATCGATTTTCGATTTCATTCCGTCTTTGTTGTAACTGGCCATAGTAATTTTTTGTGATATATTCATGATCAGGCTTCAAATTCTTGATCAGATTATCATTGTTGTCTTCAAATGCGTCCCATTTCTGACGCAAATTTTCCAAACGTGTCTCAAAATACTGCTTTGAATATCTTGTAGAAGAATCCTTTTTAAAATTTATCCAGATCCTCTGGATCTCACCTTCAATGTCCTTTTGATGTTGGATAACTTGATCTATCTCTTCGATCTCCATGATGTCTTCTGTTAGTATTTGATTTGATTTGTTGAGTGCCTCGGTACGCTTCTGCTTGTTTCACTTCGATGGTACGTTTGCATTCACTTCACTCCGATGTTAAAAGCCTCGGTACGCTTGTATTAACTTCACTCCGATGTTAAAAGCCTCGGTACGCTTGTATAAACTTCACTCCGATGTTGAAAGCCTCGGTACGCTTGTATTAACTTCACTCCGATGTTAAAAGCCTCGGTACGCTTGTATTAACTTCACTCCGATGTTAAAAGCCTCGGTACGCTTGTATTAACTTCACTCCGATGTTGAAAGCCTCGGTACGCTTGTATTAACTTCACTCCGATGTTAAAAGCCTCGGTACGCTTGTATTAACTTCACTCTGATGTTAAAAGCCTCGGTACGCTTGTATTAACTTCACTCCGATGTTAGAAACCTCGGTACGTTTGTATTAACTTCAATCTTAGACTTTAAGTCTCTTTGTTAGGTATATTTGAAACTCTTACCACTGGTGGGGGAAATTTCAAATATCCGGCTCGAAGGACCAAAAATGAACAAGAATGTTCATTAACAATCTTTATGTCCCTTACCACTGGTGGGGGGAAACAATAAATGATTGGTGAGACGTTGATTTACTTTCAACAACTGATTTTATTTAAATTTATTTGTTCTTTTATACAAAATAAAATGCAACCGTAATTGCAGAACATACAATAAATAAAATAACTTATTGCTTAATTCGCACAAATTGCTTAATAAGCAATAGTTGCGAATGCTTTACTTATGACCTAATTTTTACTTTTTGTTGATTCGTCAACCAAGAAATTAAGCAACAGGTGTGAGCGATTAACTCATGACCTAGTTCTTAATTTTTTGTTGATTCGTCAACACAAATAGTGAAAAATTTCTTAATTTCGTGCCTGAAGCTGATAAAGAAAAGACTCTTCGGATGAATAATGAGGAAATAATAAAAACTCTTGGTATCATCTGGGCTCCAGTGGGAGATACGTTTCGATACGTTTGGCCAGATTTTGATAGCTCGAAAGCGGTGACAAAAAGAATAGTGTTGTCGGAACTATCTAAGTTGTTTGATCCCCTTGGGCTTATTAACCCATTAATCGTAAAGGCGAAGATTTTCATGCAAGATTTGTGGATATTGAAGGCTAATTGGGATGAATCCCTACCAATGAATTTACATAGTCAATGGATAGAATTCCGCGAAAATCTAAAAGACGTCAAGAAAATAAGTGTGCCTCGATTTGTTTTGGCAGAAAAACGAGTTGCTAGAGTTGAAATGCATGGATTTGCTGATGCATCAAAAAGAGCTTTCGGGTGTTGTATTTATATTCGCTCAATATGTGTGGACAACGACGTTACAATGCAGTTGTGGAGTGCTAAATCCAGAGTAGCGCCATTAAAAACTTTATCTTTACCAAAATTGGAACTTTTGGCTGCGGAATTGCTGTCGAAACTAGTGACAAAAACCAAATCCAATTTTCCAATTTCTATTGACGCGACCTATTTATGGGTGGATTCCGAAATTGTGCTAGATTGGCTGAGCGAGCACCCATCAAATTGGAATACATTTGTTGCCAACCGGGTATCATTGATTCAAGAGCAGACAAAAACGTTTATTTGGCGGCATGTTCCTTCAAAGTCTAACCCAGCGGATATAATATCAAGAGGTGCGTATGTAGATGAACTATCTAATTCTATTTGGTTTGCAGGTCCTTCTTTCTTGAAGAGAGATTGTTGTGAGTGGCCACCAAATAAGTCTAGAAAGAATACTAATGCTGACCAAGAAAGGAGTCGTAATAGTACGATAATGACTGTTAATAATTTAAAAAAAAAATACCTTATGAGGCATGCTCTGAGGATAACTCGAAATCTTCTTTTGTGACGTGGGTTGAAACCTTCAGCGATTTTGAAAAATTACAAAGAATTTTTGCCAATCTTCTTGGCTTTCGAAGAAGCGTTAAGTCTATGACTGAAAGATTAGATGAAGCACTAGTGCGTATATTCTACTGTGTGCAACAACATTATTTCAAAGAAGAAATTGAGCTGCTATTGAAGAATAGAGAATTGCCAGCAAACAGTAAATATAAAAATCTGAGCATTTTTGTAGAAGATACTTATGGTGTTCCGCTACTACGTGTTGGTGGGAGATTAGCGAAGGCTGCATTACCATATGATGCTAAACATCAAATTTTGTTACCGAATAACTCAGAAATAGTTCGCAGTTTTGTACGATTTCTTCATTTCAAATATTTGCATGCTGGTACGCAAGCGCTTATGGCTATAGTTAGGCAGCGATTTTGGATATTTCATGCTAGAGGAGTAATACGCAAAATTACTGGTAGTTGTCTACAATGCTTTAGATGCCATCCAAAATTGAGTAATCAGATTATGGGCGATTTACCCTCTTCTAGAGTCACCGTAGCGAGGCCATTCACTGTGACTGGAGTGGACTTTTGCGGCCCTATTACAACAACGTATCTACTTCGTGGGTACAGAACAACAAAAAGCTATATTGCTGTTTTTATTTGTTTTGCCACAAAAGCTGTGCATATGGAGGTGGTCTCTGATTTGACTGCAAAGGCTTTCCTGGCTTCATTAAAAAGATTTGTAGCTCGACGCGGCTTATGCTTAAAATTATTTTGCGACAATGCCACTAATTTTGTGGGTACTCGTAAAGAGCTCGAGGAAATGAAATGCAAGTTTTTTGATCAACAAGTACAGGGCAAGATTTCAAAATATTGTACTGCCAATAGTATTGAATTTCATCATATACCACCCAGATCCCCCCACTTTGGTGGACTATGGGAAGCGGCTGTAAAATCAGCAAAATATCATTTGGCTAGAATATTGGGTCAATCGCATCTTACATTTGAAGAGCTGGCAACAGTGGTTGCGGAAGTAGAGGCAGTTTTAAATTCAAGACCTTTGACAACCTTGTCTAACGACCCAAATGATGAAAGCGTTCTTACACCGGCACATTTCTTAACAGGTGGTCTGTTGGTTGGAACTGTGGAACCTACTGTGGATAGCGAAGAATGGTCTCATAAAGATAGATGGCTACGAATTTCGGCCATACAACAACATTTTTGGAGAAGGTGGTCGGCGGAGTATCTTCATGAACTTCAACAGAAAGTCAAATGGACTAAGAAGCAGAAGAACCTTAATGAAGGTGATATGGTGTTAGTTGCAGAAGAAAATTTGCCTTCTAAGCAATGGCTTATTGGGAGAGTGCTGAAAGTGACAAGAGATGCTAAAGGTTGGGTTCGAGTTGCTGATGTAAAAACAAAGAATGGAGAGGTTCGCCGAGCAATCCATAAATTGGCACCTATTCCATCTGAATGTTGATGTCTGCTGGAGCCACCAAAGGCGGCGATATGTTTAGAATTAAGATTTATTGTATCATGGCCTTTAATTTATTTGTCATTTTTGTATTGTGTCGTCGCCTTTAAGCACACGCGAAAAGGCGACATGTGTTTTTGAGAAATAATAAAGCAGTCGTGAATAAAAGTTATCAGTAAACTAACTGAATAAAACAGGTATGTTCAATGGATTCCTTTGCATTTGGAACATATGTGGAATGCATTCGAACGTCTTTCATACAGAATGTGAGAAAATTGCTCATTTTCGCGCTTGAAATTTTATATGCAAGAATGAGCCATTCGCTACTCATTTTCGATTTTTGACCAAAATGAGCCATTTTCGGCCAATGTATACGCCATATTAGCCTAACTCGCACACGGCCATAATATGATTTATTCTTCTTTATTCTTTGCAATTCATTACAACTTATTTGTAAATGAATCAATATGAAGTTTTTCGCTGTTAATCATGATTCGTTATGACACTAGTATCAATTATATATCGCTTAAATAAATTCCGTCTGTTATCCAGTATACTCATTCTGAATGAATGTGCACATAATTAAATGTGTTATTGAGGGTGTTCTTTGTTGTTTCATAAAATAAAACAGTCAACGAAACCTTGTTATCATACGATCAAAAGTGTCTTCTATGACAATCCTTGCCTACGAATGCATTACATGCAAAACCGCAGATATGCAGAATCTTTTAAAAGAAAAGAATCGCTGGGAAATTTGTTTGGAAATTATACTGTATTATACAGGTGTTATCTACGCAAAACTCGACTGTCATGTCAGGAACAAGGCCCTCCAACATACACGTCTATAAGAAGACCATTTTATACAATCCTTGCCTACGAATGCATTACATGCAAAACCGCAGATATGCAGAATCTTCTAAAAGAAAAGAATCGCTAGGAAATTTGTTTGGAAATTATGCTGTATTACACAGGTGTTATCTACGCAAAACTCGACTGTCATGTCAGGAACAAGGCCCTCCAACATACACGTCTATAAGAAGACCATTTTCACCGCAAACTGGCTGCAAGAATAACCCATTTCGTACCTCCGTGCGGTGTAACGTACCTCCGTACTTTTGAAATTATTTAAAAATATTAAAAAGTAATTAATTCAATGTTTTCTATTTTTGTTACTTAGTTTGATATCATAATAATAAAAAAATACATATTTCGAACAGTTTTTATCTGTTCATGAGTTTACCTGGTCCGAAATAAAAAGTACCCAAAAAATGCTTTTTTTAATTAAATGAAAATTAAAAAATAAAAACTAATATATTTGTATAACATGTGTTCACAAAAGTCAAAATATAACTTTCATAATTTTTGCCGACGCCTTAGTAACAGTTACTTGCCACTAGACGCCGGCGAGAAAAGGCGTGTAGTAAACCACACGTTGGGTCCCATAGTACTATAATGATAAAATAATGCAATATAAATGTTTGTAGTTAGGTGATGAAATAGAATGAGAGTAATTTCTCTAATAAATATCATACTCTTCAAATTAACTTAAACTTATGTTATTTACTATGCATAATAAGTCTATTTTAATATTTAGGATGTGTGCGAATTATACTACTTAGTAAGCCATATAGTAACATTGAGCTTTTGGTCGTTTACATTATCACGAGATACTTAAGGAATGGGAAAGAGCTTTTATGAGTCAAAAAGATCTAGTTTTAGAGCTTTTGTTTGTTTACATTTTAATTGAAAACAGCTGACATAAATTTTGTATAGTTTAAAGAAAATAATTCAAAATAATAATATAGAAAAGAACATGCAATGATTTATAAAAAATTACAAATTATTCAAAATCATAAAATATTCAGTGATTACTAGAAACCAAAGAAATGCAGAACTTTGGTAAGTACAGGCAGTAAATATATTTAAATAAAGAATAAAATTAAACTGAATTCCTATTTTAGAAAAGAAAAAATTTTGAGAAGAGGACTGTTAAAAAAATTGTCCGTATGTCGGTTGTAAGAAGATAACGGGGGGCTTCAGAACGAGTTTGAACACTAAATAACCATATTCCAAATAGAACAGGTATAAGGCAATGTTTAATTCAAATTTTCAGTAAGTTTTATTTTAACTAATAGCTAATAATCAACACTAATAATAAACTAAAAATAAAAACAATAAAAAATATATACTAATATAAATATTTTTTATATAATTAGATTTTGTATAACGCTGGCAGTAACGGCGAGGATGGCTATCAGAAATACGAAGGTGTTGTTAATAGGCAAGTTCTCAAAAATTCTATACCCGTTATTGATAAACTTCCAGGATGACGGGGCCTCCATTGAAAACATCAATACTTTGCTAATCCTTTCTGTTTTAAAATAAAAGAGAAAATTGTGAACATAATGCTTAATAACATATACCTACTATACATTATACTACATTAACTATTACATAAAACATCAAATATTAATCGTAAAAAATTATGTGGTTTTAATTAAAAAAAAATAATAATATAAAAGAAATTTCGCTTATTGCACACTTACCTAAACTGTTAGGTAAAGTACAGTTTTGTTTGACTTCGCGCGCGGTTACCATATAACCTCTTTCACCTTTTTTATTGAAGAAGATTTTCCTCCCACGGTTCAATTAAAATTTCGCCGCCCTCAGTCCAAGCATTTCGGCATCTTTTATTTGTTTTTACCTAAACTTAATAATTCTGTTTTAATTACATACCATTTATAACTGCACAATAATAACCCGTGAGTTCTCAGTCATTGTTATAACCCGAAATTAATATTTTTTGTTAAATATTATATGATATTTTATAATTATATCAAATATATACTTGATAAATAAACTTATTTTTATATTTTTATGTATTAATTATTTATTTTATTTATAAAAAAAAATTGTCTAATAAAATTCTTACCTGTTGTTTGTTTTAAATTTTGAAGGTTTGTTTATGTTTCATGTGTCAAATATGTCAAATTTCGATCAATTTCCAATGTTGCATTCGTCGTTTTTGGTATAATTTTGGTCGAATTTTGTTTACTATATCATATAGTAAGTAAAAAAGCATGGAAGCTCTTTGTATGGTAAATAATATATACTCAGTAAGATAAGCTTACTAAGTAAACAGTGGAAATGCACTATTAGGCTAAGTTAATGCTAAACCAAATGGGACTTTCCTTTAGATTTTTTGCGCTGCACACATTTAGCCACTTAGCTCGAAAAAGTGTGCGAGTTACATTTTGACAGCTTTTATCAGCTGTGAATATGTTTTGATTCAGTATTTTGTTTACATATTTTACAATAGCGGAGCAAATTGATGAAGCATTTTTATTTATGCAATTTTACGAATTAATTTAATTAAATAATCGTCGTAAGATATTGATAAAGAGATTCTTAGAAGAATATCCAAAGGTAATTATAAAATAATTTCAGTAAATAACATAAATTATTAGTTTGACTATTTAGTGCGAGCTTTTATGCCAAAGTGGATATTCTTTTGAAATATTTAGATCTGTTGTAAAAAAGGATAATTCGATCATAAAAAAAAAATTTAATTCCCTCACCAAATGAAGAAATTTGTTGAGATATTCTCAAAATTCATTCGCGTAAAATGAACTTAACTCACAGCATTAATTTGTATAAAATATCTAAACTTATTCCGAGAGCTTCTGGTACAAAAGTTGAAGGCGTTTGTATAGAAGCTGGTATGTACGCATTGCGTGATCGTCATGTGCATGTTGCTCAAGAAGATTTTGAAATGGCTGTCGCTAAAGTTATGCAGAAGGATTCAGAGAAGAACACGTCTATTAAGAAATTATGGAAGTAAATTTTAAAACTTTTATATATTTATACACCGAGTATCATAAAATGATTACTGATTTGTAATTGAATTATCATTTCTTGGATCTTTACAATTAAAAATTAAAAACTTAGCATAACATTTACGTTTTTTGTATTTGCTAATTTTTTGTTAGAAACGCATAATTATTTTTTTTTGCTATTAAAAGCATTGTGTATTAGATTAAGTGTTGGTTTCTAATATTTTGGGCTCATTACTGCATACTTTATTACAGTTGTAAATGATTTTAGTTTATATAAAAAATGTTTTGTCTCAAATATTTTTTCAAAACCTCTTGAGTCATGTTTTCGAAAAAAGAATTTCGCAACATGCTACAGTATAATAAGAATCTGTGGGATTATTGACTTTGTCTCGTTCTTACTCATCAACTAACCATTGCGATTATAAACTTAAGTGGAAATTTTGCGGTCGCAAGAAAAAAGGTTCAAGTAAGATCCAATAAATCAAAGGACTTCTCTCGGCTTCAACAACAAAATGTTTGCAGAAGTTGTATAATTTCAAGCAATGATTCTCGACTCAAGACATGCATGCTGTAGACCAAAAAAATATTCAATGTATTTTACAAACAAATTATTAAAAGCAACCGATGAAAAGAGTAGTACCAATATTTTTCAAACAAATAATAACGTTAAGGCAAAAATTTAATATTTTACAGGCCATCAGTCCTAATGATACCCTTATTTTGAAGTCATTTAGGTCACCATCATTCAGAGTTACTGTCACAAAGTAAATTCAAATCTAGCCAAGTATATACACTTAGCAGAAAAACTCTGCGTACAGAAAGTAAATTTTGTTTCAACATATAAAAAGTTACTAAATAAATAGATTTTTTAAATTAATTTTATTTTTTATTTGTACTTTAATTCGTTATCTTCATTTTAAGCTAAAACTTATTTCTAACAGATTAGTAGAAAAATTATAATAATTAAAAATGTAAAAAATCAGCGCTATCGGTGGCAGAAAAAGTCAGCGTACAAAACATATAAAGGGGAATTCCCGAAGTTTTAACAGTAGAACTTTGGCGAGCTTTATGTTTTATTGAACCAGTATATCATTATACACAATCCCACGCACTTATTTTATAATTTAATGATTAAAAAGTAATTAAATTTTTAATGACAAATAAAGGAAAAGAAATTATTATCTGTGAGAGCAGTATTATTATTGATCTATGGACAAAAATGAAAATGTATCGCGAAATTGGTCAAATCGTTAAGCGGTCACATTCTTCTATCCAAAGAGTAGTAAACAACAACAGCTAAACAGGATTATTGACCTCGAAGCTGCGATTTGGGCGTCCATCCAAGCTGTCAACAAGAGAAACTCGCAGCATTATTAATTCTGTGAAAGATAATCCTCGACTAACTGGACTTCTGTTATATAAATATATTGACCAGACATTCCAGAAGCAAATTCATGTGGACACTGTACACAAAATATTAAAAACATACCACTACTATGGCCGGTTTGCACGAAGCAAGCCGCTTATCTCCAAAGCTATTAGAATGAAGCGTTTAGCATTCGCAAGGGAGTATTTAAATAAGTCTCCAGAATATTGGAAACGCATAATTTTTTCAGATGAAAGCAAATTTTGTCTCTTTAGCGTTAAAAGTCGAACGATTATATGGCGAAACCTGGGTACAGCCTTTAATAATGAAGATTTGTATCCAACAATTAAACATGGTAGTGGAGGAGTAATAGTGCGGGGGTGTATGGCGAGTAATGGAGTGGGAAAAATGAAATTTATTGAGTCTATAATGAATAAAGTTGATTATTTAAATGTTTTAAAATGCAATTTAAAGAGCAGTGCCGAGAAGTTGGGGTTACAGAATAATTATTTATTTCAACAAGATAGCGACCCAAAGCACACGGCCGAAGTTGTGAAGCTTTGGTTGCTTTAAAATGTGCCAAGCAAATCAAAACGTCATCATAATCGCCATATTTGCATCGTATAGAACATTTGTAGGATTTACTCGAGCGTCGGATACATGAATACAATGTAACCTCCAAAGAAATGCTGAAGAACGTAAGCGACGCGGAATGGGGTAAAATAAGCAGCGATGAGACTGCGAAGCTGGTCAATTTGATACCAAAACGACTTATGGAGGTCATAAAAAGGAAAGGTTATCCAACAAGTTACTGAAAATATAAAATCTTTTAAAAAATAATATATTTCGATGCTTTTTAAACTCTTGTACGCAGACTTTTTCTGCCACCGATAGCGCTGATTTTTCACATTTTTAATTATTATAATTTTTCTACTAATCTGTTAGAAATAAGTTTTAGCTTAAAAGGAAGATAACAAATAAAAGTACTAATAAAAAATAAAATTGATTTAAAAAATTTATTTATTTAGTAATTTTTTATATGTTAAAACAAAATTTACTTTCTGTACGCAGAGTTTTTCTGCTAAGTGTATATAAAAAATTCAGAAAATAAATATGTTATATGAATCGAATTTTATTTATTTTTTATTTATCACTGAATTAAAATACCTAGGTAACTTAAAAATTGTATTTATTATGAAGACAACAGTATACGAATTATTATTGTTATTATTATTGTTAGCAACATTCAAACACGTTTAATCATTTGTATCAATAAGTTTACTAACATATTTGCATAACTAACAGCGTAATGTAACGCAGTCTATTCTTCACCATCACGTAAATCTACATTAGCACCCCAATTGAATAAGAAATGTAAAATTTCTAATGCACCGTGATCTGCTGCCCTGTGGATTAAACCCAAGCTATTTTAGTCTAAGTCACTTCCAAAATTGGCTTCTTTGACAAAATCAAAAACATCTCTTTCATGTCCAGCTTTTTGTACTACATCATTAATCGGTAGCTCAGTGAAATGAACTACCGAACTAAAGACAGATTTAAATTTCTATGCACTTTTTAACATTGGCTGCCAAAGTGGATCAAGTTGTTTTACCTTTTCAATATATAAATTGTTTACAAACAATGTTGAACACAAATAAAATTATTCAAATATCAAAAATTACCAAAACAATATTGCCAGTCAATGAAAAGAAATTCAATTATTTTTTTCGAAACAGCAACTATAATAAAATTTTATTAAATAAATGTTTATAATATATAATAAAAGTAATAAAAATTTCAGAAAATGCAAGTATTTACAAAATTTATTGCAAATGCTTATTAAATAATGAAAAATATATGTGAAAGGTGATAACTTTTCGGTTAAAAGTTTTCTAATAGCGATGATTAATTTTTTTTTAAATAAATAAAACAAAACATTTTAATAATATTATTATTTTCTCTATTCATATATTCATTTGAATTCTCGTATGAAAATATTATCTTATAAAAATGTATTATTGTTGCTGGTAAAGCTACGCTTTCTTTATAGTGACAAAGAAGCGATATTTAAAATTCTCTAAAAAATATCTTATCAAGTCTCGATTTAGCCACCTCGACAATATGCTAAGTATCGACACATCACTACATTATCGACACAACTTAGAATTTGCCTCATTTAGAACGCAATTTATCCTAACTCGCACACGACCCTAATTGCTGGTTGAGTTAGTCGGAATTTCATTATTTTATATAGGGCTTATATTTGTCCGTAATACCAATTTACTTATAATAATTTTATTAAAACAAATTCTAAAACTAATCAACCCGTGTTGAAAAAGTAAAAAAATAAAAATTAGTAAATTTTGAACTTATTATAATAATTTAATTAAAATATATTCAAAAATCTGATCATTTTCAGTTACTTTCATATTAAATTAAACTAGTTTTAATACTTTTTTAACTTGTCTCCCAAACAATTTGCTTGGGAAAGAATTTGTGCAAAATTGGGAAAAAACTCCCATTCGCAAATTATTCAGAATTTCAGCATTCAGAACTCCCATTCCCAAATTATTCAGAATAGCAAAATTGGAAATAGGGAACAGACTCCCATTTCCATGCGATTCAGAATAGGACTGATGTAAAAAATCTGATCATTATAAGATACTTACATATTAAATTAAATATGAAATTTTTTTTAAATTATCTCCCACATAATTTGCTTGGGAGAAATTTTGTGCAAAATAGGGAAAAAAACTCTTATTCCCATTTGATTCATCATAAGAGAATTGGGAATAGAGACCAAAACTCCCATTATCATGTGATTCAGAATAGGGGAACTGTGAAAAGAGAAAAAACTCCCATTCCCATGTGATTCAGAATAAGGGTGACTATCTCAATTGACCATCTGCTCTAACCAAAATTTAGACTTAGTATTCTGCTTATATCTAGTAAGAGTAACTACCAAAAGAAATGGCGATTCATTCACTACGCAGCAAAATGACTTCTAAGTAAAATGGTTCCCGATGTAAATACCATAACCCTCTAGGACAGTTAACCTACTATCAAATCAATATATATAATACACTCTCAATAGTACGAAAATGCTGTGTTTCTCTTAACGAGCTTGCAAAGCGTGTCAGTATCCAACTCATATGGCATCCTGGACACAAGGATATCTACATTGGTAGGCGATTGAGGTGTTACCAACTACACACGGTTATATGTGTAAAACTGATATTGCCAGCTACGACAAATTCATACGAAACTAAGCATATACTTCTTAGTTTTATAGAACAAAAGTTATCTGAAATGAAATTCCAACGTAATAGTGTGATTGCGTTATTAATGGAAGTCTTGTGAACCACAAATGGTTAAAAAAATCGTGTTCCACACTTCATTTAATCCACACAATGGCTTTCGAATTCGTCAGATGCAAATCCAATGGTCCATTTCATCTGGGTCTTTTTGGAGACCAATGTGAGGACTTAAAAATGTGCTAGTATGGTTGAGCTGAAGAAAACAATTTTTCAGAAATGAACCAAAATACTGGAAGATCACATTCTTGAAGCATGCAACTCATTTTTTAACTGTTTGAAAGCCATAGTCAAGGCAAGAGGTGGCTACATTGAGCTAGAGTGATTGGATTCTGAAACTTCCACAAATTTTTGGTATTTGAATCAATAAAAAATAATTTTATACAAAAAAGATATGATCGCTTGAATAGGTAATACTTCAATCACATAACCCTGTGCAGTAACTACACCTGTACAATAACTAGGCGCCCTTCTGATATTCATTTCTCTTTTCAGCTTTCAGATATTAGCATACCACGTGCAACCGGTAAGCTGGCAATTAAACAAAAACATCTTAGTATTACAGAATAAATATAGATAAATGAAAAAATCATGTCAGATCTTACAATTTACTTGGTCCAAAGTGCACAACAAACGTACTATTCAGCTGTTTTAATAAAGCGAGATATTCTAAGCAATCATAGTCCATACTGACGGATAAGAAGCAACAAAACTTGATATATCGTATAATAACTTTTGTCGAAATTATAGTTCTGAAGAAGACAAGAAATTCGAGTCTTTTCTGAACACACAAATTTATAGACTTATAATGGAATTTGCAAAATTTGTTAGGTATATTTGTGCATTTAACAATAAGTGTAATTTGTGTAAGTCTGGTGCTTTGAATGCTTTACATATGATTATAATAAAATTGATTACAAATTTTGAATATTTTATAAGTAATATTTTATTTTATTGAATACATTAAAATGCATACTTTAGTTTCGTTTTAAATAAAGATAAATATAAGTTATTTTAAATATAGCATATTTATCGTGCATAAAGCATAAAAACTTGAAATTATCATTGTTATATGTATGATCGCATAAATATTATAGCCTTATTTTTTTTTTAAAGTAAAAAAAGATCTTCGCTTTGGTTCATCCTTTTGTGAAATAGCTGGCAATGTTTGCGACCTGCTTTCTGCAACAGTTCCAGTTTCACTTTGAGCCTTTACAGAATTTACCCATAAAACCATTTCATTATCATCATGAGCTTGTAATAAAAATTCAGCTCCATTGGACAATCTAAAATTTGCAAATGTGAAGTATATTAATAACAAATATATTAAAAGCATACTTGATTCTCAAAACATGTTTTTTCTTAGTATAATCATTAGCAATCTCAACTTGTGCTCCTTGTAATTCGTAGCTTGGCTCACCACGGAAAGTCAGTTCAGGATTACTTTTGAAACTTTTTATATCCTTATAGAAACAGATACGACCAGCTCGGGCAACAATATACAACTATATCAATTAAATTTTATACAAAATTTATGTTCATTTCAGTAATATTACATACCAGTACGCATTAAAATAATATCTTACCTTATCCCATGATCTGTTTGAAGCTTTTTTTGTTGTTGATTCCCATTCATGCTTTCTTATAAGATACCCCTCCTGTCCTTCTCCTACTAAAGATGTTGAGTATTCTATATTCATTAGAAATGTACAAAAAAAATTGGTTTTTAAAAACACACTCAAATTAAAATATATTATTAATATTTTAAACAAGTATTGGTACTGTGAAATGAAACAATACCTGCATGTATTTCAGAATCTCGCTCGACTTCATTTAACTGATCAATGACCACTATTCCAAGTAAAAGTTTAGAGAAAAAGAATTTAATCTCATTATAGTATTTACTTTTTCGGAGTGCGTAAAAAGGGAATCGATTTAATTGCTACATGTTTATATTTCATATCATTTATCAAAATAGTAACAAACCTTAACTATTGTCAATAAACCGAAATCACAAACATATCGTTCGCTTTTTATTGTTATGCATGTGATTTTGTTATTTTAATTCTGAATTCATGCTGTTGCTATTTTCTTTCACTTGCGCCGTTTGTGTTTGGTTTCCAAGTTCAAAGCATATATTAATTATAAGCATTAATATATTATTTTTTTTATTACTTTGAAAGAATGAAATATTAAGGGATTAATAATCAGAAACTGTTAATTATTTTGCTTTTGTGGGTTGGATCTGTTTTTATATATTTTTAAGATATATTCTGAAAGTTGCTGAAAAAAATATTCAAAAGGCATTCATTATTTCAATATACATAAATGTCATAAAAAGATAATCATGTATTTCTTTTTTATTGGCGGTGTGCTTAAAACTTCCTAGCAGCAACCTGGCGCAGTTATCTTGTATTAAAGACGTTCAGTCAAACAGTCCGATCAGTTGTTAAAGATAGAAGTTGTACGTACACATGCAACGCATTTCATTTTATATCCGAGTGACTAACATTCGGATTGCATTACAAATCCGAACAAAAATTATTTTCGTGTTAGTGAAAAGCATCCTACATTTTGAGGCTCAAAGATTGCAAAAAGTTGCAAATTCTAAAAATGGAAAGCAAAAAACTAATATAAACACAAAAAAGGCAATGTATTGAAAATGCAACAAATAAACAGAGACAAGTTAAATCATATTTTGCGTTTGCTTGTGCAACGCAAAGTCCGTTGCTTTGCGTCGTTTGTCAAAGGTTATTAAGGTTAAAGTTATTATCTATCGATAAATTTATATCGACAATTATATATACTTTAATCACATTTTTTTTAAATGAGTCAAATACTTCATTATTTCCGATATTTAATTTCATACCTAACAATCGTTCAATTATTAATACTTAATTAAATTTACTGACTTAAGTTGAACTTCGCTTTATTAATGCACCTGAATCTTAACTCTAGGTGCTTGTTGCCAGTCTTAAAACATAGCTCCTAAAAAATGATTTTTATTCCAATTTATTTATAGGGGCCGGTACTTTAAAGATTGCCTTGACTTTTTCTGTCCATGGCGATATTCCATGATTATATAATATATAATTATATTATATATATATATATATATATATATATATTATATAATTAATATATATATATATATATTTATATAATATAATTATATATATAATATATATATATAATATTATAATATATTATTATAATATATATTATAATATATATAATATATATTATATATATATATAATTATATATATATATATATATATAATAATAATATTTATAATAATATATAATATAATCTATAATTATAATATATATATATATATATATATAATATATATATAATATATATATAATATATATATATATATATATATATATATGGTTATTTTCTTTAAAAAAAATATGCAATATTTTTTGATACTCTTACAGAACCTCAGACTTTTATTCAATCCAAAAAATAAAATAAAATTTAGTGTTTTTTTTGTCTTTTTTAACTTTAAAAGTTCAAACTTCTCAAAATATATTAAACTTATCAAAAACTTTAATAATAAACTTCTTTAATAATAACTTCTTTAATAATAAAGTAAAAGTTAGTGGTTTTTCTTTTTTAACTTTAAAAGTTCAAACTTCTCAAAATATATTAAACTTATCAACTTCTCAAAAACGCGTGTGTCTTAACCAAAAACTCTTTTCTTCTCTCGTTATTTCTTTTGTATATTCGATTCATTTTAATTTTAAATAACTTTGCAATTATTATTTAAAAGCTATATTATTGTAGCCGATATTTAAATTTGTAGGTGACGATGATGCCATCCAATTCAACCTCTTCCACTTTTAATAAATAGGTGAAAAATATAATTCTACTAAATTAAATATTGGCACTAAACCTAAAACATTTATGAATGCTCACCAGGTATTTCTTCAGTAGTAGACAGCTCGACAACATCACGTCGTTCTACTTCGCGGCTAGCTTGTTCTGCTGCTTCTGATGCAGCTTTTGCTTCTAGCTCTTCCTTAATTCTCTTACTTTCAAGTTTCTCAGCTAGCTCTTGACGCCTTTTCAATTCTTTCAGCTCAAACTAATAAAATTGAGAATATAAAATGATTAAAAAGAATTATTAATCACAACTTACTGTAGTTAAACGCTCAAGCGCACTAAAGCGTTCTTCCTGTGCAGCAGCTGACTTTTCGAAAGCTTCATGTTTTTTAATTAAATTTTCAACTTCATCAATTGTATGACCCAATTCTGAAGACATTAAATACGGTTCTTGCGCAATTAGCCAAGCTTCAGCAACAGCTGCATCTCTAGCAAATTGATAAACTTCCAAAACTAAAATTTTCAAAGAAATTATTTATGTTACTAAAAAAAATTAATTATATGTACTTAATTGCAAATTTTCCCATCTTTCTTCCCATCTTCTTAACAATGCATTTCGACAGTTATTCAGTTGCAACAGTCTATCCTTAATATCTGCCGATGCATAATGATTTCGGGTCAACAACTCTTTTCCAAGAGATATGCAAGTTGCAAAATTATCTTCACGCGTATCTATTTCAGCTTTCAAGCTTTGATGGTTATTCATAAGAAGTTCAACACCCGAAACGTCACGTGGTTTTTCAGATGTATTCATTTGTCGGACAAGATCCTCCATCCAAATCATAAGAATGCGTATCATATTAAAGAATCTGAATAAATCCCCAGTATCGGCTAGTTTTTGTTTACGTGCATCACACATTGCTTGTAAGTTAGACCAAGCATGTAAAACTTCTTGCTCACGATTCGTTATCTCTTTTGCTTTATCGCCAGCATATGAATCTTGAAGTTTTTCAGATTCTTCTTGAATTTGTTGTACTTGTGAGTACAGTGTCATTAAATCCTGCATAAAATTATAATGTTTTCGTTGGAGAGTGGATACAGAGCCTGCATCACGACCTAATTCATCTGAAACACCATGTTGTTTTTCAATAATACGACCCAATATATCTTTGCAGTCATGGAAAAATTTATGCAATTCTCGAGAAGCAGCCAGCATTTGTGTGCGTGTTTCTATAAGTTCTAATAAATCTTGCCAAGATTCATTCAAATTATCTTTCCATTCTGCAATAGTTGCAGAATCGGAATGTCCTGCAGTTATTAAATTGTCAGCAATTGTATTAACTTTCGCAACTCGTTCTCCTCCAACCGATTCAGTATCACGTGCAAACTCACTAAATCTTTCTGAAAGCAGTGTAACATGGTCAAAGTCTTGACCGAGTTCCTGAGATCCAGCCACAACTTCTCTATCCGATATCCATTGTTCTAAGTCATCAACTTCCCGGCTTAACATAAATAACTGTAAAGCTTCATTTAATCTTGCTCGACGTTCTCCAGCAAGGTCTTTTAGGCCGGCATACAGTTTATCTAGTTGAGACTGTTTAACTGCAACAGCATCGCCACTAGAAACATCATCTGCATTGAATTGACGAGCAAGTTCACCCAGCTGACGAATAGTATTTGCGTAATCTTCTACAGACTGTTCGAGATTTTCATGCTTTTTCATTAAGTTCTGCGCGCTAATTTCATCTTTACCACGGTCCTCTACCATCATATATAATTCCAATTCACTCATCCAAGATTCAGCTTCTTGTGCATCAAAGAAGTATTGTTGTACTTTTTCTGACTCCAACAAATGTTTCTTACGTTGTTCAATTGCATCCTTAAGTTCCTGCCATTTTTGTGTTAAGTCACTAATTAAACTCTCAAACTTCTTAGAATCTTCATGACCTTCATCGATTAGTTTTCTGCCATTATGACATATGGACATTATTCTTGGTTCATGATTATCAATTTCTGTAGAAAGTGATTGATTCTTTTTTTTCAAGACATGCACATTAAATAGTGAATTTCCATAATTCTTTGAATTGGCCACAGGTAGTTTCTCATCAATCCAAAGTTTCTCATCTTCAATATCGCGACAAAACTGAAATGCTTCTTTTTTCTTTTCTAACTGTTTTTGGTGTTCAACAAGAGGAGCTTTAATTTTTTCAAACCGCTCAAGAACTGCTGTTTTCTTTACTACAATAGGTTCAATTTTTTCTTCCGGGACTGTTTTCTGCAAATATTCTGTTTGTTTATCGATTTCTTCAACTTGACGTGCTTTAACTGCCATTTGTGTTTGAATTACTTGTTGTTTTTGCATAAGAATATTAACAGAAGTCAAATCATTCCCAGTATCCGCATTTACAATTTGCTTTTCAAGCTCTGTAATATATGAATCGATATCATCGCATGTTTGTTGTACTAAGACTTCACGATTTGCATCGAACAGTACGGCTCCTTTCTCTTTTGTGTGAACCTCAAGGTCATCAAATTGTTTAGCAAGTTCAATAAGTTTGGGCTCAATAACGTCTTTAAATTCAGGTTTTTCTTTTGATAGTTCTTGAGCTGCTCTTTCTGCTTCAAATAATCGTTCTTTATTAGCAGAAACCTCTGCTTCAAATGCCTGATGTCTTGTCCATTTTGAATGTATAGTTTTAGCACTTCGGTATGTTTCATCTTGTGAAGTAACATATTTTTCTTGCACCCATTCGGTCAGTTCCTCTAAATCTTGTAAAAATTCATGGAGCTTAACTTGGTTTTTAAGTTTCTCATGTTGGTCTAAAGCACGCTCACGATTGTCATCTCGTCGAATTCCAATATTTTCTGCCCTTTTACCGATCTTATCTGAATCAAAATGCTCCTTTTCAATCAAGGAATCAGCTACTTGTAATAAAGTATTTAATTTATCATCATTTGCTTCCATAGTTGTAAGAAAAGCTTCATGACGTTTTAGTTGATTTTCAGCTTGCTCTAAGTTTACAGGTGTATCGTCTTTGCTTAGAAAATGTTCCTGTTGACTAAGCAGTACTTCTGTTTGTCTAGCATCGCGATTGAATAATTGTTGGTCAAGACTTTGTGATAAAAGAACTTGTCGATTTTCCCACATTTGATGCAAATCCTCCCACCCATTTTTCAACGCATTTAATCGTTCCCGCAAAAACATGTATTGTGGATCATCTGATGTGCTAGATTCTGATGTCAAACGTTCACCATATTCCATCATATTTTTGTAATCTTCAGTATAGTTATCAATTTCTTCCCTAATAGATTGATGCTGATTAAGTAATTTCTCGGCTTCTTGTAATGATGTAGGAGTGTCTTCTGATGCTACATCGGTTTGTGTTTTTGTTAACCACGTTTGAAAATGATCTAAATCGCGTAGGAACCGATGTAAATCTCCAGCTTCTTCAAGTTTAGAATCTCGTTCTTTAAGCATATGTGTCAATTGTTCCCAAATAAGTTCGATTTGCGCAATTTTGTCACGAATTATTTGAGCTTCCTCAGGATGATCGGATTCAATACCATTAGCTTCCTTTCCAAGACTTGATAATTTTGCTTGAATTGCAGCTAAATCTCTCTCCATACCACTAAGACGTCTCTGCAATGTCATAACACCAGTTAAATCCATTTCTAAACTATCAGTTTCAGTAAGAATTCTTTTTTTATCTTCAATCCATGAAATAGTTTCACGACACTCAATATAAAATGTTTGGACCCCATGTGCGGCTTTAAGGTCGTCCATTTTGGCTTCTGATTTTTCGCGCAATAAAGACCATTCCTGATTGAGGTGATTCTGCCGCTCAAGTATTTCATCTGAATTTGGATGCTCCACATGCAACAATTGTCTAGCTAATTGATTTACTACTGCTACTCGTGAAGCGTTAGCATTCATTTCTTTATCAAAACCTTCAAACCGATGCTTCATAATTTCAACATCTTCAATATCTTTACCTGGTACCATAGTATCAAGCATTTTTGTTTTTTCTCTAATCCATTGTTCAACACCATCAGCTTCCGACATAAGTTTATAGAGACTTAATGCATCCAAAAGACGTTGTTTTCGCAACTTTGCTAACTCAGTTAGTTCCTTATATCGTGTTTCTATTGCTAAAAGACGTTTATCTACATTTACTTTTTCGGTTTCATTTAATTTTAATGAATTGCCTTGTTTGTGAAGAATGTCTACAACTTCTTCATAGTTTTTAAGTTCATCTGCAACCTCCTTATGCTTCTTTAATAAAGATTGCACATTAGCCTCATCTCGACCAATATCTTCACTTGATACAATTCTTAATGTATCTAACATCCAATTATCTGCATCATCGGCATCTGCGAATAATTGAAAATATTCGACGGCATTTTCCAGCCGCTGTCGTCTATACTTCGTAATATCTAATAAGTGATCCCACTTAGATAAAATTTCTTTTAAACGATCTTTAATACGATCTGCTCCAAAATGTCCTTCGGTTATTAATTCTGCGCCAATCTTTGCTACATTTTGAAGTTGAGAATCATGTGAAGTTATTTCCGACTCCAAAGCTTTATGTTTACTTAAAAGTAAATTAACAGTAGTTAAATCATGTCCAATTTCGTCCGTTGACATAATTTGTTCCTTTTCTTTAATCCAGTTTTCTTCATCTGCTGTGTCCCAATAGAACTGCCATAGTTTTCTACTTTCTTCTAATCGACTTCGACGTTCAACTGCTAAACGTACAAGCTCAGCATATGCATCTTCTAGCTGCTGTACACGACTCACAATGATATCAGGATCGCAAGGTTTATATGATTCTATGTCATCACTAAGGAATTTTTGCGAATTTTGAACAACAACTTTGACACGTTCACCAAGAATGTTGATATCAGCTTCAACAAGTGAGTGCTTTTGAAGCAGATCTTCCACACCCATCAAATGTTTGCCATAATCGTCGGTTAAAAGTAATTGCTTGATTTCCTCCATATTATCCAAAATATACAACATTTCTTGAAAGTTCTGTTGTAATTGTAAAGAAATTTCTAAGCGCATTCTTCGTGCTCTAAGTAATTCTAATAAATAATTCCATAACCGCATCACATTCTCTTTACGAAGTAATATACGTTTGACGTCATGATAGCGTTCTGATTCCAACTCATCGCAAACAGCTACAACAGCTTGTACTCGTTCTTCGTAGGCAAATATATCTGTTTCAATAGCTTCATGTTTTTTAGCTGCAGCTTCAACTGCTGCAAGATCAAACCCAAAGTTGTCTTGACTGACAAGTCTTTGATTTTCGGATAACCAAGTTTCACGCATTGAGGCTTTACGATCGAAACGTGCTGCAAGCTGTTCTAACTTTTCTTGTCGAATTAATTCTTCTCGAAGAGCTAATTCACGTTCATGTTCAGATTTTTCTAAACGCTCCCAAGCTTTATTAATATCAGAAATCATTTTGCCCTCTTTGGGTGTGTAAGGTTTTTGGTTATTTGCACGCATTTTTGATTGTAATGTAAATAGTAGGACTTCTAAATTTCCTTTTTCAACAAATTTAGGTGGTTTTTCAATAGTTCGGTAATTAGAAAACTGTGCGAGTTGTCCTTGTACACCAACTAGAGAATTCACAAAATCACGTTCGCCAAGTGTATCAATTGTAGTTTCAATCCACTTTAAAAGATCACTGGTAAAATTTTCATAATCTTGAATCATTTTATCATTTTCCATTGCTATTCCCACTACTTTTCCAATACGTTTTCCCTGAACAGTTTCTTGTTTAAGTTTGCTGAAGTAGTGGTAATAAGTAACTACATAAGTTATAATTGATTTCTCATCTGGATGTTCAACGAAAACGTCCTCTGCGTCAAGTAATTTTGCAAGACCAAGTTTATCTTCAGCAATATCAAATGCATTATTTAAATTATGAATTGCGTTGCTTTTCGATAGTTTTTCAAACTGAAGTAAATCTGGACGATGTTTATGTATTATAGCATTAAATGCCAGTCCATCTCTCCATGATGTGGTAAAATTTCTAACGTTGACATTATAATAACCTGCAGTTTTCATTTGACACCAAAGAAGTAAGGCATCTTTTGCTGACTTAGTTTCTTTGTTGTCAACTTCTTCTATGGTAATGTCTTGAATCTATGTGTGATTAATAAAAAACAAAAATAAATAACAAATCAATAAAAAACTTTAGCCAAATATCATTTAATTTAAGTTATATTAAATTATATATCTTCAAATGACATTAAAGTTAATATCGTAAATTTATGTAAAATTAATAAACTTTAGCTACATATCATTTCGTAAGAAAGCATAATATATTATTTCCTATATAATTGCGGATAAATCCGTATATTTCCTTTAGCAGCTGTAGTCATTTTCAATGTATATTATGTTGAGGCCAGTTGAGTCAGTGCACCTGAGCACTTTTACTCTCTATTATCTGCGAGGTTTCTTCAAAACCCCTCCTTGCGCCTTGACTGGATTATTGTTTATCACTTCATCAGACTATGCAATAATTGACCTCAGATCTGCATATCTCCCCGAGGAGCCAACTCAATATATATTTTAAATATATATATTTAAATATATAAAAAAAAACAGTAAAACTTTCATAACTCGAACTTCTATAACTCGAATTTTCTATAACTCAAACCAAAAACAGTGCACCAAGGTTTTAGAGAGCAAATTACATAGAATTCTGCCAGTTGTTGGCAACGTGGTAAATAAAATAAATTCCTATGCTACTGTTGACGAATCAACAAAAAATTAAGAACTAGGTCATGAGTTAATCGCTCACACCTGTTGCTTAATTTCTTGGTTGACGAATCAACAAAAAGTAAAAATTAGGTCATAAGTAAAGCATTCGCAACTATTGCTTATTAAGCAATTTGTGCGAATTAAGCAATAAGTTATTTTATTTATTGTATGTTCTGCAATTACGGTTGCATTTTATTTTGTATAAAAGAACAAATAAATTTAAATAAAATCAGTTGTTGAAAGTAAATCAACGTCTCACCAATCATTTATTGTTTCCCCCCACCAGTGGTAAGGGACATAAAGATTGTTAATGAACATTCTTGTTCATTTTTGGTCCTTCGAGCCGGATATTTGAAATTTCCCCCACCAGTGGTAAGAGTTTCAAATATACCTAACAAAGAGACTTAAAGTCTAAGATTGAAGTTAATACAAACGTACCGAGGTTTCTAACATCGGAGTGAAGTTAATACAAGCGTACCGAGGCTTTTAACATCAGAGTGAAGTTAATACAAGCGTACCGAGGCTTTTAACATCGGAGTGAAGTTAATACAAGCGTACCGAGGCTTTCAACATCGGAGTGAAGTTAATACAAGCGTACCGAGGCTTTTAACATCGGAGTGAAGTTAATACAAGCGTACCGAGGCTTTTAACATCGGAGTGAAGTTAATACAAGCGTACCGAGGCTTTCAACATCGGAGTGAAGTTTATACAAGCGTACCGAGGCTTTTAACATCGGAGTGAAGTTAATACAAGCGTACCGAGGCTTTTAACATCGGAGTGAAGTGAATGCAAACGTACCATCGAAGTGAAACAAGCAGAAGCGTACCGAGGCACTCAACAAATCAAATCAAATACTAACAGAAGACATCATGGAGATCGAAGAGATAGATCAAGTTATCCAACATCAAAAGGACATTGAAGGTGAGATCCAGAGGATCTGGATAAATTTTAAAAAGGATTCTTCTACAAGATATTCAAAGCAGTATTTTGAGACACGTTTGGAAAATTTGCGTCAGAAATGGGACGCATTTGAAGACAACAATGATAATCTGATCAAGAATTTGAAGCCTGATCATGAATATATCACAAAAAATTACTATGGCCAGTTACAACAAAGACGGAATGAAATCGAAAATCGATTTAATAATGAATTGGAAATAATAAGGCAAATGGAGCAAAGGGAAGCTCAAGTTTCAAGGCATCAAGTTATAAGAGGGCAAGAAGAAGCTCGGTCACCAAGGAATCAAGACATAAGTATCAATGACGAAGTCGCCATCACCAGGCCATGTGATATTACGAACAAACGTTTAGCAATCTTAAGTACAAGTCTGTTGCAGATCAAAGAGACAATAGACTTAACGAAAAGTATTGAAACGTTACAGTTCAAATTGGAAAAATTGAAGAATTGTTGGGCAAAGATCTCACAATTAAACGATGAATGTCTGTTTAACAATGATGAAATAGACCAAGGAGATTTCATTCAACTGGAATCGATATACGAAGAAGTATATATCCAGTTACAAGAAGAACTGAACGTTCGCAGTCAAAACGTTGCAGAACCTAGAACAACGGTAAGTAACAATATCAAACTACCACCGTTGAATGTACCAATATTCAGCGGCAGATTTGAAGAGTGGTGTCCATTTTGGGAATTGTTCGACCGGTTAGTTCAACAAAACCATAATCTAGTGGATGTAGAAAGGATGCAGTACTTAAAAGGAAGTCTACGTGGAGAAGCCGCCAGACTTATCAATCATTTAACAATAACAGCGAACAATTATACAGCGGCAGTTGAACTATTGAAACAAAGATACAACAATCCAGCAATACTTGTGGACAATCTTATCAATAAGTTATTGTCGCTCAGAGCTATAAGAAATGAGAATGCACAGGATTTAAAAACATTAGTGGATTCTTCTAGAGAAGTGTTATATGGTATACGTAATTTAAATGTGGACACGTCAAGTTGGGATCCACTAATTATACAGATACTGCTTCCAAAATTAGATGGTGAAACCAGAAAATTATACCAACATTCAAGAGGGGCATCAACACAAATACCAAAATTGAGCAGCTTATACGAGTTTATCGAGAGCAGAGTTAGAGGATTGGAGGCAATTCGTGACACAAATCGCGAAAATAAGAATAATTTTCGACCAACAGCAGTAAATACAAAAACGCATGTAAATACAATACATACGCTATGTTTAGTGTGTAATGGTGACCACCAATTGATTCGATGTTCAAAGTTTCTGAATATGAAGGTGCCGGAACGTCGTGAAAAGATTATGAGCGCCAAATTATGTTTTAATTGCCTTCAGAGTGGGCATTTTAGTAAGTTGTGCTTGTATAAAAAAAGATGTGCAATTTGCGACAAAAAACACCATCAACTTATTCATGAACAAGTTAAGGGCAAACCAACAGTCACAAATAATATAAGTAAACAGAGGATGCCAACATTGAAGAACACCACAGAGACCGAAGTGGCAGCGTCGTACAACATCCAAAAGGAAAAAACTGTTTTACTAGCAACCGCAATGGTAATTATAAGGACTAAAAAACAAGTTAATCCGATACGAGCGCTTCTTGATCAAGGATCACAATCTTGTATAATAACAGAACAATTAGCAAGATCAATCAGAGCACCATTGACCAATTATCAAACTCATGTAAAAGGTATCAATGGACAAACAACAAGCGTTATAGCCAAATGTTCATTAGAAATTCAATCTATACATGATGAAAATAAAAGCTGTCATATCGAAGCAATAGTGTTACCAAAAATCACATCAAAAATGCCAAATGGAGAATTCACGCCAGGAAAATGGTCACATATTGATGGATTGCAGTTAGCAGATCCTTGGTATGCTGAACCAAAGGAAATACAATTGTTAATCGGGTCGGACGTATTACCAGAAGTGTTTAAAGAAGGATTAATTAAAGGGCCAGACAACTCTCCAATGGCTCAAAACACACTATTTGGATGGATATTATCAGGACCTTTAGATGTAGAGCGTACAATCACAAACAAAATAATGTTATGCTCCATGGCTTGCGAAAGCAGCGACGAGTATTTAAAACGGTTTTGGGAATTAGAGGAAATTCCAAATGCAGACTTAAGAACAGTAGAAGAAAGGCATTGTGAGCGACATTATGATTCAACTTGCACCCGCGATAAAACAGGACGATACATCGTTAGGTTACCACTGAAAAATGATAGAGAAACGTTAGGTGAATCCAGAAAGATGGCGTTAAAACGGTTCTTTTCATTGGAAGAACGATTTAAGAAGAATCCAGCACTAAAGCAAGAGTATGTGAACTTTATGCAAGAGTATATCAAGCTGGGTCATATGAAGGAAGTTAATGAGAAACCAAAGACAAAGGTATATTATTTACCGCATCATGCAGTTATTAAAGAAGACAGCACGACAACAAAACTTCGAGTGGTGTTTGATGCGTCCGCGAAAACGACATCAGGACAATCACTGAACAGTATTATGATGACTCCAGCGCATGATAGTCTTAACTTTACAGAAACCAACTCAGAGACGGCATCAACCAAGGCAGATTCAGACATTCAAGATATGTTACCATTGGGAAAACTTGTCAGAAATAAAGAAGTAGTTCCGACAAATTTTACTGTAGGAGATCCTAGAACGCGACGACAATGGTTAGCGGCTAGGCAATCAAAATCGACAGTTCTTGCTATATTGTTGGCATATCTCACATTAGGAACTACGTTATCAACATCAGCCAATAATCATACATCACCGTCCACTTACGTTGTCGCTTGGTCTTGCACATAAACAACAACCTGCTGAGACTAACAAATCTAGACCAACTCGTAATACCAACGCAGAGCCGGCATAATGTTGACGAATCAACAAAAAATTAAGAACTAGGTCATGAGTTAATCGCTCACACCTGTTGCTTAATTTCTTGGTTGACGAATCAACAAAAAGTAAAAATTAGGTCATAAGTAAAGCATTCGCAACTATTGCTTATTAAGCAATTTGTGCGAATTAAGCAATAAGTTATTTTATTTATTGTATGTTCTGCAATTACGGTTGCATTTTATTTTGTATAAAAGAACAAATAAATTTAAATAAAATCAGTTGTTGAAAGTAAATCAACGTCTCACCAATCATTTATTGTTTCCCCCCACCA